AAGCTATTTTGATAAAATTCGACACAAATATGTCTAGTCTAAATATAAATCACTCTACGAAACTTTTTCCGGATAGGCCTATAATTGGTCATAGCTCCCATATAAGGTCGACTTCCGAAAATCACCTAAACGCATATATTTCATTGAATTATAAAGCTATCTTGATAAAATTCGACACAAATATGTTTTGCCTAAACATGAATCACTCTACGAAATTTTTTCTGGATAGGCCCATAATTGGCCATAGCTCCCATATAAGGTCCACTTTCGAAAATCATTTAAACGCATATATTTCATTGAATTCTAAAGCTATCGGGATAAAATTCGACTTGACTATGTTTTGTGTACGTACAAATCATTTTACAAAATAATTTTTTACGTATCGGTCCATTATTGGTCATAACTCCCATATAAGGCCCACTTACGAAAATTACTTAAAAGCACATATTTCATTATCAAATAAAGCTATCTTGATAAAATTCGACACAAACATGTTTTGCTCAAATATGAATCACTCTGCGAAATTTTTCCCGAATAGGCCCATAATTGGTCATAGTTCCCATATAAGGTCCACTTCCGAAAATCACTTACACGCATATATTTCATTGAATTCTAAAGCTGTAGGAATAAAATTCGACTTGAATAAGTTTTGTGTACAAATCATTTTACCACTTTTTTCTCGGATCGGTCCATTATTGGTCATAGCTCGCATATAAGGTCCACTTCTAAGAATCACTTAAACGCACATATTTCATTGTGAAATAAAGTTATCTTGAGAAAATTCGACACTTATATGTTTTTTCTTTACATAAATCACTCTACGAAATTATTTCCGGATAGGCCTTTAATTGCTCATAGTTCCTATATAAAGTCCACTTCCTAAAATCGCCTAAACGCGCATATTTCATTGATTAATAAGGTTAACTTTTGAAAATCACTTAATACCGCTTAATTCGTTATTAAATTATTATATCCGGATAAAATTCGACATGAGTATGTTCTGTGTATAGATAAATCATTCTAAATTTTTCTGGACCTAATCAAAATTAGTTCGGAAAAAATTTTAGCGAGTTATCTAAAAATTAGATAGTTAGATGGGTTTCAATAAAAAGTAGCTTGCTGGTGGAGGGTATTTAAGATTCGGCATAGTCGAATATAGCACTCTAACTTGTTTTAATTTAGCTTTTGTTGCGTCGAAAGGTTTTGCGTTCGTCAGGTTAACTACCTCAAGCTCCCTTCCCTGTAAAGCAATTACATTCGCCATTTCATTGCCGACTACTCCCGAGTGGCCTGGTACCCATATGATGTATACCTTACCTCTGGGAGAATATTCAGTTAAATCTTTCTTACAATACAATACGGTCTTAGATTTAATTCTATCACTTGATATCGCCCTAATTGCCTTCTGGCTGTCAGTAAATATATTAAGTCCTGTGGACGCCATTCTAATCCAATTTACACATTCCGTTGTTGCTCGGACTTCTGCCTGGAAGCTTGTGTTATGATTAGGTAAACAATGGTATACATATTTCTGTTTCTGGGTTTTCAATAAGAACCCCAGGTTCACTTTGTCCATCAATTTAAAACTATCCGTGTAGCAAGGGATTCCTACTGGTATTTGCTGTAATGTTCCGCTTGGCCAAGACATTCTATCTGGGATCAGCGTTTTAAAGTTTCCAACGATATGCGATCAGACACGTCCGATGATTGTGTTTGACCTTCCAATGTGTCCAGTATACATTGGTGATGTGTCCTAACAGCTAACCGCTTTTGACCAGCGCGTCTAAAGTAAAAAGCCTTTCTGAAGTAAGCGCCGCCTCATTAAATATTTTTCAATGGGTGGAATATCAAGCAACGCACAGTGATATAGGAAAAAAAAAGAGGGAAATAATAACTTCTAAACGGTTAATCCGATTTTAATGAAATTTGGTATGCACAAAGAGGAGGTGTTGTCGAGTTTAGGTTTTGAATTTGGACCTTATAGGCCAACCAGGGGCCCGGCGGGGGTCCTCAAATTAGGACACCTCGGCTATGTTAAATTTTTAAAACGATCCTATTTCTTCATTTGAGTTCCGATTTAAAAAAAAAATCGTATATAGAATCTCCTCATCGCAGTCGCAGTAAATTATCTCTTATAGTTTAGGAGATATTCGCATTTGAAAATTAAAATTTTAAAATTTTTACCGTCCTTACTTTAGTTTTTTGATAATAGCGGGTCCAAATATTCCCGATTTTAGCCATATTTTTTTATTCGCTTAACAACAAGTTTATATATCAAGCAGTGAAAGAATTATGTAAAAATCATGACTGAGTCCAAAGTTATAGGCATTTTAATTTAAAAAATTAAAAAAAGGCGATTTTTTGCCATTTTTTTTTTTTGGGAAAAAAGTATCTTTTTCTTTTTAAGTTATCTAAAAAGTTTCTAAGAAGATGTATATAGAATTTATACTTTTTGGAAAGCAGACTTTACATAAAATACGATAAATGAAACAAAACCTAAAAATTTTTGATACCGAGGGGACCAGGTCCATCCAAAAAAAAACCCTATTTTTTATGGAAAATTCAATTTTGAGCAAAAATTCTCAAATCGCATAGTCGATATCAAATGATAGTGGCCTGTTTTATATGACCCAATATGTTCTTAATCATTTTGTAACGGGTTTCGATAACCCCGCCCCTGGTATGGATATAATAGGCAAAAAACCAAAAAATCCCATTTTTGGGATTTTTTAAAACTTTTTTGGGAATTCCGGGATTTCTAATAAGAAAATTCAAAATTTTTATTTAATTTTGGATTTTGAGTAAAAACGTCTACCTAACTGTAAAATTTCATCAAAAAATATTCATAAATAAAATTTTTATTGCAATTTGAAAAATTTGTATCTTCGCAAAAACTGAATAAAAAACATTTTTTAATTTTTTTTAAAAAAGTATTCCGCGAATTTTTTAATGTTCAAAAATTATATACAGTTTTGAGAAGTAGAAAAAATTACCTTTCCATTGATATATAATATGCCTACCTAATGTTTTTTAAGTGACAAATTAATTAAGGAAAACTCAACATCTTTTAGAAAATTTACCTACCACTATTATTTTCATCCATAAGGTTAACTCTTAAATTTGTTACATATATTAAAAATAAATAATAGTGCTAGGTAAATTTTCTAAAAGATGTTGAGTTTATTTATGAATATTTTTTGTTACCGAAGTTACCGAATTATTTCCCTCTTTTTTTTGTCCTGCAACGTTTCCAGAGCCTTGGTTGAAGTATTATACATGGAACCACTTACACCCAAGCAGCATGTACGCTGAACTTCCTGTAGGAGTTTGATATTACACTTTTTGTCCAAAGCAGTCCACCAGATTAGTGAAGCATAAGCTAGAATTGGACTAATTACACTTTTATAAAGCCAATTTGTCATAGTGGGACTAAGACCCAATTTCATGCCTATAGTTCTTCTTCATATCGCCCAGCACCGATGTGATTTGTTGTGTGTTGTCTCCATTTTTATTTCCGGTCAAGGATTACCCCTTAGTACTTAACTTTGTCTGTGACCGGTATCTTCTTGCATAGGAAGCACGGTTCAGTATACGTAGAAATTTTTGTCTTTCTTGTGAAAAGACAGATTTCCGTCTTTGCCGGGTTAACATTAAGGCTTCTCGGTTGAGCCCAGCTCAAGGCCGTATTCATAGCCTCCTCGACTCTTCTCACAAGTAATTTGGATCATTTCCCTTTAAAAGTATTACATAGCAGACAGGTCTAATTCTTTTCTCCGTTAGGGTCCTTAGGAGGCTATTAATCGTGGTAAACGAGAGTAAAGATGAAAAGTGTCATCCTGTGGTATACCGCGAAATACCATTTTCCTGATTGCTATATCATTCATCTCGCAGCTTATCCATCTGTTCCTTAGCATGTAGTTAATCCAGTTACGGAGCACCCGGTCGACATAATACTGGTCTAGGGATTGGATAAGAGTATCTGTGTGCACGTTTTTGAAAGCGCCTTTGATGTAAATGCATACCGCCAGTATATACAGTTTGCTATTGAAAGATTCACCTATGTAGTGGACAACTTCGTTTAAAGGTTTTAAGTGAAAAATACTAATTTCTTTCCATTTATAAAATTTACAAAATACTGGTTAAACTGGAATTATTACAAATTGGTCCAATATTTCACCTAGCCTCTTTACTCTAATCTAGTCTATTGTAGAAGTTATTGTCCAGTCTACAGTGGAGACTGAGTTTATAATCAAGATTATAGAATATATAGTTCAGTCGAGCTATTATCGAATCTATAGTCGAGACTATAGCTTAAGAATATTATAGAAATTCTAGATCATTATAGAAATGAAAACAAAATGGTCCATCAAGTCTACACATCGAAATACACAAAATAGATATATACATATTCAGATTTAATTTTAGCTTCGCTTGTAGAAGTTTTCCCGTTAGACGTCCTTGTGATTTGCTTAATAAAGAGTTGTTGAGCATTGTTTGTATTTATATGTCAGCGTTTTTTGTTCTGCTAACAACTGTTAATTAAATTTCTAACATTAACATTTTTATTGTTTAAAATAAAAATATTTTTTTTGCAGTAATCTTTAATATTCTCAGTAATTAAAATTAATGCTTATATGAACTTATTGTTTTAAAAAAACTCATTATTTAAATTTCAAAAATTGTTTATTATGCGTTGACAAGTTAAATAAATTATTAAATAACAAGGTCCCAAAGAAAGCAAAATTTCTTTATAAAAAAATAAACTGAATTTTGAAACTCTAATCTTAAATTCTAAATATAATTAATGAGGATGTACTAGCTAAATAAATTCACGTGCAGTTTTAATTACATTCTACTATTTTAAGTAAATATTTTGTATCCTCTACCAAAATATAAAAGAGTTGTGGAAATATATAGACTGGAACATACACAGAAACATACATACTACATATGTATTGACTTAACTTTTCTCATAATATATGGATTTTTTTCTTTTGTAGGTTATTGGATTTTTGGTGCACAATTTTGTGATACATGGGTTGCCTTTGATGTAATGTGTTCAACGGCGTCCATATTAAATTTATGTGCAATATCCTTAGATCGTTATATACACATAAAAGATCCACTGAGGTAAGTCTGCATATAATCTGTTACATATACTAATATATACATACGTTGTATTAGTACATACATATTTTATATACAAATTTATATATTTATTTTAACTCATATAATCACTAAATCATTAAATCTCTGAAAATATACAATATATAAAAGAATAAACTAAAAATATTCATAAAATACTATTAAGGACGTTGCAAATGATGGTGGCTTCAACATGATGATGTTGACAACAGTGATGATGATGGGGTGGTGGTTGATAAAATATTGGTCATTTACAGAAATTTCATGTATTTTTTTTTTTTGTTCTTGTTGTTATGCCCTACACCACTATAGTGAGAAGGGTATTATACGTATTGGTCCTACACCCATCCTGAAGTATATCAATCGGCTCAGAGTCACTTTCTGAGTCGATTAAGCTATGTCCGTCCGTCTGTCAGTCTGTGTGTCCATGTAAACCTTGTGCTCATGCTTTATTATTAGAAAAATAATCCACATTTTTAACATATTCACTGGTCTAGGCTATCATATGGTCGGCCATTCCCGACTATACATTTTTATTTGATTTATTATTCGTTCTTATATTGTATTTATAATTGTGTCATCTGCATATGGTCCGTAATGATAATATAATAATGATGATGACTATAATGATGGTTTTTAGTAATGGGAGCGATACTGTTGTTGTTTACACATAAATCATTTTATATACTTTAAGTATCTAAAATTGAATGAAGCTGGTAAAATAGATATAATATGTAAACATATAAACATATTAATATGTCATAACACCGTACAACAAAATGAGAAAAAAAAAATTAGTTAGTTAGTTAGTTAGTTAGTTAGTTAGTTAGTTAGTTAGTTAGTTAGTTAGTTAGTTAGTTAGTTAGTTAGTTAGTTAGTTAGTTAGTTAGTTAGTTAGTTAGTTAGTTAGTTAGTTAGTTAGTAGTTAGTTAGTTAGTTAGTTAGTAGTTAGTTAGTTAGTTAGTTAGTTAGTTAGTTGTTAGTTAGTTAGTTATTAGTTAGTTAGTTAGTTAGTTTAGTTAGTTAGTTAGTTAGTTCGTTTAGTTTAGTTAGTTAGTTAGTTCGTTAGTTTAGTTAGTTAGTTTTCGTTCGTTCGTTCGTTCGTTCGTTCGTTCGTTCGTTCGTTCTTTTCGTTCGTTCGTTAGTTCGTTCGTTCGTTCGTTCGTTCGTTCGTTTCGTTCGTTCGTTCGTTCGTTCGTTCGTTCGTTTTCGTTCGTTCGTTCGTTCGTTTCGTTCGTTCGTTCGTTCGTTCGTTCGTTCGTTCGTTCGTTCGTTCGTTCGTTCGTTGTTCGTTCGTTCGTTCGTTCGTTCTTCGTTCGTTCTTCGTTCGTTCGTTTCGTTTCGTTCGTTCGTTCGTTCGTTCGTTTTTCGTTCGTTCGTTCGTTCGTTCGTTCGTTCGTTCGTTCTTTCGTTCGTTTGTTCGTTTGTTTGTTTGTTTGAAAGAAGGAGTATGTATACAGCCATCTGGAGAAATACACCTATGCCTCCAACGGGCCTGTTGTGCGCTCCTTAACCAGTGCCTCAGGTGGGTATCGCACCCATCACCTCCGGTCTACCAGACTAGAACTCTAATCATTAGCCTACGGGAGGCCACATACCTTGATTTACTTTGATATTAATTTCAGTTTTTCCATTTACTATTACTTTTTAACATTATTCAAAGAAATTTATTTGAGTTTTTTGTATAGAAAAACATTTGTTTGCACCCAGCCATACAATGAAACCATTTTTCTCTGCCATCTGGTTTGCCTTAATCTTATATTTGTAACAATTATTATACGGTTTCAAACACATAAATATTCATACGTTGGCAAGTGCAATAAATTGTTTATTTATTTAAATATTTATGTTGGGGTTTTGCAATGATTTAAATTTAAATTGTATTTGGTCAACACAGTACTAAGCAACAGAGTGGTTTTCTTAGGGATTAGACCACTTAATGGCCAATGGTAGAAAAGTGGCCAAATACTTAGAGAATTTAAAAGGGATTTATTTATTTTTTATTTTTTGTTTGATTATTACATCCCTCTCCTTTTCTTATTATTTGTACGACAACAAAATATAACAACTCATTGTAGTCATTGTGTCATAAATTGTAAAAGGTATAATAAATCCTTTTTGATGTCATTTTCAAAGTCTTCTATTTACACAGAAAAAAACACATGCTGCTAAACAAATTACAAAGCCATGCTCACACGCACTCACACACACACCCATATTCATAAATATTTTATTTTTACAACACAGACACAAATACAGACATTAACACACTTACATTTTCGTAAAAAAATCCTGTGTTGAAAGGAGAAAAATGTAGAAAACTAAGAGGCAGACAATTTAGGATTTGGGTAAGAGGTACGATAAGGAATTCAAGCAAAAAATTACTAAAACTGAATTATGGCTTAGAAGTAAAAGGAAAATAGTTCTTCAAAGAGGAGCAGTAAATAAACAATTTTATAGATTTTGAGCATTAAATTGATTTAAAACTCACATGCTCACATAAAAATCCTATATATTATACGACCTAAAAAAGACAATGCTGAAAGTTAAAGAAAAGCACAATGAAATCTTTACTAATTTACACCTGAATAAACAGTGTTTATTTACCAACCCAAAGATTTCAATATTTACAATATGACAATCTTTGTCATCAAATTTATTGAGATTCCTTTTTTTTCCTTTTTTATGGACAATATAAAGTCAGGTGTTAAAAATACTCTAATATATGATTATCTACCTACACACATACATATATACAGAATTACACATGTACATATTAATTCACAATTCAATCAATAAAGTTTATTAGTAAATATGAGATATTTTTAGCTTTCCAATATCAAGTCATAGGAAAATTTATTTACGCAAACACGCAGTTAAAACAATATAAAAAGGATTTCCTTTTTTATTTCTATTTTCTCCCTTATGCATTCATAGACGGAAATGTTTAGCCTCAACTTATAGGAAATTTTATGAAATTAAATTCTATTTAAGGTTATATTTTTATCTTATAATTCTATTTAGAAAATTGTTGTTCAAAGCTGATGGTTGTTGGAATAAAGGAACTAATTAATCGAACTTGAAAGAGTTGACGGTAAAAACAATTGTTCTGTAGGGTCAATTATGGACCGATCCACATAAAATTTGGTAGAGAGTTTTTGGCTTGAAACTTACTTATGTAAAATTTCATCGCGATACTCGAAATTTTAAGCCAGTAATGAGAGTTAAAGTCATTTTCTGATGGGGATCTTATATGGGGGGTAGGGTCAATTATGAACCAATCCACATAAGCTGTGGAAGAGAGATTTTTTATAGCAAGACACTTACTTATGTCAAATTTTATCGTTATAGTCGTATTTTTAACCGAGTAATGAGCATTAAAGTCATTTTCTGAAGAGTCCTTATATGGGGGGTAGGGTCAATTATGGACTCATCCTCGCAGGGAGTTCTCTTAAAACTTATTTATGTTGAATTTCATCGCTATAGTTACACTTTTAAAACATATATGCCAGTTAAGGATGTTTTTCGGGGGTCCACTTGCATGGGGGCTATCCGAAAACGTGGACCGATATGGCTCATTTTCAATACTAAACAAACCTTACCTACTGAAAATATTTCAACCCTCTAGCTCATTCCGTTCGGACTCTGTCGTGTTTTTAACAGACAGACGGACATGGCTAGATCGTCTTAGAATTTAATAAAGACCCAGAATATATATACTTTTGAGGGTCTATGACGAATATTTCGATGTGTTACAAACGGAATGACAAAATTAATGTACCCCCCATCTTTTTTGATAGTGGGTATAAAAGAAAGACTCTACTCGAAAATCACTCTACACATACGATTCGTCAAGCTCTTACTTACGGGCTAAATAGGGTACCATATGATCAGACATGACCGACTGTACTTTTTTATCGATGTTTCTCAAATTTCATAGTTTAAAATTTATATGACAAATGTGATAACAAACGATTAGACTTTTGTCATTATTAAATAATATAATATCATATTTTTCGCTTCAAAATTCCAACTTTATATCTAAGTATATTTTGGTCAACTTTACACTGAGTTAAGCACCAACTATTACCATTTTCATGTCAAAATAATATAAACATTTTTGAAGAAATAATAATGTCTTGTTCGTGTCTAGAAGTATGATTACGTTTGCAGTATGTCTAAACCATATAAAATTGACTTGTACAATCAATAAAACTTTATGTAGCTTGCTCACGATTTAAAAAAAAATATATAATATTAATAAAAAAGAAGGAGAAAAGAACATTTAAAGTGAAAGCATGTCAATGTTTATATATTTAGAATGAATGTCAAAGTTGTCATAATAAAACTGATGTATCTTTTAATAAAAACAAAAAATAAAATAAGTAAGAGTGCCATATTCGGCTGTGCCGAATCTTATATACCCAACATGAAAAATCAAACGGATTTCGAAAGGTGACCCTATCTATACCTTATGATTATATTCTCTTGGTGTTTGTTACCAACTAATTCATTAGATTACTTTTATTATCGCAAATGAACGTAATAGTATTATTTCATCTTTTTATCTACTATGGACCAATACTCATAAAATATGATTTCAGTAAAACTTGTTATGTCGAATTTTGTTTCTATATTGGTATTTTTAAGCCAGTTATGGACGTTAAATTTATTTTCTGAGGATGACTTTATATGGACCGTAAAATCATTTATTAATGTTCTTGTATAGGGGCAAGGTGAATTTGTGGACCGATATTGCCCATTTTGAATACCAAAAAAAAACTTTCAAAATTTCAGCTCTCTAGCTCTTTTCGTTTGGACAGATAGACACGCATACAGACAGACAGGCGGAAGTACATTCATAGCTAGATTTGAATCTAATAAGGATCCAGAATATATATACTTTTTATGGGTCATAGACCAATATTTCGACTTGTTACAAACGGAATGACAAAGTCAATATACCCCAATGTCTTTTGATGGTG